CAGCCTCCACATCTCTGCGGAGCATACAGATGACAACTTACAGCAGAAGCAAATCCATAGCCAGTCAGCACTTTATTACCCAGATGCCCACAGAACATTGTAACCACAGCAGGTAAATGAGGATTCGAGAGAGCAGATAGAAAGGTAGACATCAACAACTGATAGTTACAAACTCACAGGTGCTACATTTTAAAATACAGTAAACACAAGCTGAAATTTCTTATCATGGTACCCAGACTGTGTCTTGGAAAACATGTTGCCTCACTGCCATCACTTTGGCAGGATGCAGCCACTGTTTTAGGTCTTCTGATTTCTGCTAAATCTCAGAGACACAAGTCTCTTGTTAGATTTTACCCAAATTCTTTTATTGAAAGCGCGAGAAGTGAAGGCAGGAGAGGGCTGTTTAAAATCAACAGGAAGTTTACTGGAACTCTGAGCACAGTTAGAGCCATACAGCACTGAGAACAATCAGCCAGTCATACAGAATGTCATGCAGTCTGCACAGTGAGTGACAAAGACCAGTTTATGGAAAGAGTTTACAGGGACCGATAACATGCAATAACAACACAAACAGGACTTTGCCTTTTGCCTAGGCCGGGGTATACCTTGATGCATACAATGTTTCTACAGCAGCTACACAGACACAGTTTTGACCCTAATAAAAACAAGTATATTGCATGAGAAGAACAAAAGTACAGAACTCAGTAACCTTCTATCACACTGTCACTGATTTCACATGGCTCATAAAGCATATTTACAGCAGCTTTCATCATAATGCACATTGACCGGTAGCCTCGACTGAGCTGAACATCAAACAGTCTAAGAGCAGTACAACGGTGAACAGAACAACAGTGGTAGGTTATCTACTGAATCATGGAGAGCAGCACACAAAGCTCACCTCTTTCTTTATGGAGTGAATGCTTTGTTTTGAAGTGGATCCGCATTTTGGTCTCTGTTGGTTTCAAGACTGAAATAAAAGAAGTGTCTAAATTGGCTGTGCCAGTGGTAAGTAGTCTCTAATTACATGTACTGCCAAGTCAGTCAGAACTGGGGTTATTTGGTGATCTGAGATCTAAGTAAAAACAAGTTAAATTGACATTTAATAAGTGAGTCATGACTAGGTCTGCTATTAATGAAGCAGAACAACAAAACTAATGCTTCTACTTTTCACTAAAATAATTCAGTTTGTATCTGTATAATGCCAAATCACAACAAAAATCATCTCAAGGCCCTTTGCATAGAAAGGTCTAGACCTTACACTATTATACAGAAAACAGATCCTCCTTGAGCAAGCACTTGGTGACAAAGTAGAGGAAACCATCCCCCTTTAATGGAAGACACCTCAGAGAGAAACGGGCTCTTGGTGGGCAGCCTTCTGCCTCGACCGACATGTCGTGGCAAAAATCAATTCACAGGGAGAATCACTGCAGTGCCAATCATCATTTATTGAACAATATTGTATGATAATGATTGAGAGGGCAAGAAACAGGATCACCTGTCAGGTTTGGG